CATATTTTTCATACGTTCGTGCCATATCCAAACTATCAGGAACTCTATTCTTTTTGGAAAAAGGACAGTGGATTACAATGCATCTATGCACCAGTTAAGTGTATGGACTTAACTTAAGACCGTGCGACTAGGTTGTGCACTTAACTTTGAGACAAACTTAAGTTTGAAGTTGTGCAACACTTTAAGTTCGTCAACTTAAGTTTGTCTCAAATTAAGATAAGACATGGACTTAAGTGTAGACTTAAGTCGATGACTTAAGAATTTCTGTGAAACAACCCCCTGGTTTCTATGTGCGATTATTTTACTCGTTCTGTTCGCTAACCAATAGAAATTCAAGATGGCCGATATGCCTAAAATTAAACGGAGCCATTCTTTTTCTCAAAAATAATATGGAAAAGTGCAGTTGCTTGCATGAGTTCTTGCATTGGGAAAAAGGTCTAATTACAGTTTCACCGCTAATTGCGAGAGAAACAGACTCGAGCGCGAAAAAGAAACGCGAATTTGGCGCCAAATAACTCTAATTAATTATTTATCTTCCCGCAACTTGTTTTGCTTCCAAAACCTGAATATACCTTCACATTTTGTGAGGTTGCGGCTGCTTGCTTTCCTCAAAAACGAACTTTTTACTGGATAGCATGGGTGAACAGCGGTACTCAGAACTAAGAACGACAAAATCGAAAAATTTCGACGTTATTTCTCACGAACTCGTCGAAGCACTTGAACTTTGATGGAGTTATAAAGAAACAGTTTGAATATCGACCGTTAACCACGCTGGTAGTCTACAAATAAATCAAAAACGTAGAAAATCTATCATCGATATTCTCTTTTTGATTGCTGATATTTAAAAAAGTACGGTATAGTAAACAGTATGCGGCGATATCATTCAGGTATCAAAGACACGGATCAATATGAGTTAAACATTTTAGAGGTCTAGCTCGATCTTTGAAGCAGGAGAGATAACCAATTGTTTTGCTACCTTCTTTTAGAAACGTTGTAAAAATTTTGAGGCAAAAACAAATTTTTTTGCCGTGTAATATTTTTTAAAATTAAATAGCGCCTTAGTGGTGAAAACTAAAAATTTTAAAAAGCAGGATGAGACTGATCCCCACTTACGTGGTACGCCCGTTTAGATTCAATTCAAATGATTAACTAAAGTTTCCATTGATTGAAATGTATCTATACTCTTCAATTTAATTGCTACATCCCCTCAACATCATATTAAAGGATTTGAGCAACTTCGACCAATTGATGAGGATTTTTATTCTGGGTATTGACTAAAAACGACAATCTCTCATTGAATGTCATTCAATACTTCTCCCTTCAATTCAAAAATTAAATAGTTTTATTTGAGAATTGTTTGATCATGTGATCGACTTATAAAATGATGTTCACCTTCATCCTTAACATAAATAAAGATATTTTTTATTTTATTTATTTTCAACAAACAAACCTGAACGAATAAAAACAAGAGATCTTATAGGTCCAGTATGTCCTGGAACACTAGTTATATGTTCTCCTTGATTATTCCATAAATGAACTTTTGTATCAAAAGAAGTAATTAAAATCGTATCACCTAATAATCGACAAGCAGATATCCAATCATCATGCGTTAATGCATCTTCTGGTTCTGGAGCTCGAAATTTTTCAATGTATTCAATATCAATTATTGATTCAAGTAATGATTCATCTTTTTCTTTAATATGTTCTTCTAATAGTAAACGGATTAATTTATTATAACATAAAAATCAAATGAAAGATGAGATAAATTATTTGAAGATACTAAAAATGAATATATTCATTGAAATTTAGTTTTATTTTATTTGAAAAACTGTTGTTTGTAATAATCCTTTTAGAATGGCTTCTAACTGAGAATTTGTTGATGATGATGGAATAACTAATGTTGTATCATGGAGCAGAATATCTTTATAGAAGAAAACAAATAAAGATTTTTTTATAGAAAAATGAAAATATACTTGTTTAACCTTGTAATAAATCTCGCTTGAAGTAACATCTGAAATGACGAAAGAAAGACAAAAATATTAATGTCATAAAATTGAAATAATCTTAATATTATCTAAACGTTGATCAAGTCAATCTGTTTTGCCTGACAAATTTTTTCCACAAGATTCATTCGTTTAGGAAACCCTTTCAGAAATGGTACATTTATTAACCAACCATGAACGTGGTATACTTCTTAGAAAAAATAGACTTTTATTTGTATTTGGTCCTGCATTTGCCATTGACAAAGTATATCGACGATCATATTTTAATTGAGAATGAAATTCATCTTCAAAATCTGTTTACCATGTTAACTGATTCCCTTTTCCGTATTCGTATAGTAGATGTTGTATAGTAGATGTTTTTCGTCATTCTAAAGGTTTGTTTTACTTAAGTCTCTGAATCAGACTAAAGTGAGGTGATTGGATACTTTTCGGACCAACCGTTTGTATATAAACATATACAAGTGCACTTAGGGTCTACCTCTGAACAAAGTTATTGTGAGGAAATATTGACTTTTTATAAACTTCTTACAGGTTTTCGGGTCGAGGAATCCAAATTTACTATCAGTTTTTCAAATTAATCGAGTTTATTTTGTCTGTCAGAATAGAATGATTTTGAATGTATGATCCTCCCCACTGAAGAAATGAGTAAAAATTTCAGGGAAAATCAAGAAAGTAGTATTCCTGCGAGGCCTGTCTCATAAATTTTGTTTGATTTTAGTACAGAAAACCTTCAAAAACCCAAAGCGAAAACGACACTCCGGTACTTCCAACATACTGTGTTACTTTCCAAATATACTGAAGATCGAGAATCTATCATCTGTCATTATTTATATGAACTTTATATTTCAAATTTCAAATTTACGAAATTTATCCCACGTAATTGGGTTTCGGTTCGGAGTACCGGAGTATCAGCGGAGTACTGCAGTATCTAAGTGTCGGAGTATCCAAGTACCAGCAGAGTACCAAAGTACGTCCGAGAATCTAAATAAAGGTCGAGACTCACGGAGATCGAGCCCATCCAAAGCAGCGACCAAGCATAAGGACTTCGATCTGGGTGCACAATCTAGTTTTTCGACCATACTCTGGTACTCTGGTGATAATCCGATACTTCGAGTCGTACCCCGGTACTCCGAGCCATACACCGGACTGCATTTCGATCTTCTGAAGCGTGCTGTAATACTCCGGTGGAAGTTCCGGTACTTCAATACCCTTTTAGCACTCGTGATGGATTCGAAGTTTGCCATTTCTCCCTTGCAAAAACCTATGGAATTAATATCTTCCAGTTTATTTTTCTTACATGGTGCAAAATATAATTTTGTAATAAGTACACTGCTGAATATAACACTCATTTTTTCACTTTTTGTGATTGTTGCGGTAATTTGAAAATTTCTCTGCTAACCTTTCGTGCCCCGGACCACTGACCTCTGATGTTAGACTCTTGCTGCTCCCACGGAAAGGCGAGAAAGCGCAATGTACTCACCTGTATTGTTAGAATGATGCCAGTTGATAATGAATATATTTTAGAAAATAGTAATAAAAAACACAAGGAAACGAAGACTATAAAACGACGAAGAAGAAATCAAGAATACGATCTAAGATACGATACTAATCACGACTAACTCCTGACTACTTTTAACTGCTTCTCCGAATGAATAATAGAAGAAAAACTTTACGCTTGAATATATATTATATCGAAAAGAAAATCATAGAAAGAGACGACGAGTATGAATCAAACAAAGAAAACAAGGAGACCTAGAATAAGATAAAAATAACCAGAGATAAGGACTGGTCAATGGTAACAAATATAGGTAAGGAGAGAAAGACGTAGACTATGACTGTAACTATATCACGATCTCAAAAGAAAAAGGAAAAACAAAACATAGAACTATGTACAAAACATGCGCTGGACTAGTGTGCTAAGTGTATAACTCTATACTTAACACCCTCCCCTTCCCAGAAGGATGTAACATCCATCCGAAGAGGAGGTTTTGACAAGGAAAGGTAGAGAAAAGATAAACACAAAATATGAAGGAAAACCTGTTAGTTTGTAAAAAAATTTTCTGTGGCTTCAATTCATCAAATTTCATTGATTTTGTCTAGTAGATGGTGAATAACGTTGAATTGCTTGTCGACCATATAATTGAATGTGATGGTCCAATGTAAATAAGTTGTGGTGCAATCGTAATTCAAATTCATTTCGTTGTGCTTCTGCCCACAATCCGATGCGAAGAAATTGACGATTTACTATCATGACCTTTCTAAATCAATCCCAATCCTCTGAGGATATTCTTCGCCTGATGAATATCAAATTTGAAGTAGATTGGATGAATGATCTCATATCATAATCGTTTTTATGAAATTTCTTGGAAGATTTCCGATTATGTATGGCACGAGAATGGGCTGATGTACGAGATTTGCTTGGTGTTGGTTGATCAGAAAGAGACGGTAAAATATGTTCTTGTATGTTTGCTGTTGCTGATGAAAAAACCATGTGGCCGCCTACACGGTCCACAAGCGGCACTTCCGTGTCATTTGAAGATAATAATAAAAGTGCACTTATTGCTGTTGATTGAGATGTTTCTGAAGCAATTGAATTTTCTAAGCTGAAATTGTATGATGATCTGATTGTGCCAGTATGGAACTATTGTCCGTATGTTGAGCGGGCTCTAATTGCTGTTGTGATACTAATTCTGGCGATGGAAATGTTGGTAATTTTGCTGGTGTTTTTGGCTGCTCATAATGTAAAAGATTATCAAATTCAAACGTTCTTAAAGTTGAATCAATGCCAGCTGCCCAGTTTGTGCATGTGTGATACTTGTCAAGAAACAAACCATATCCCAACCGTAAGGCCTTTTGTAGCGACCAGCTATTTGGCTGTCTTGGGTCTTTGTATGGACGATGAGGACATGTGCAATCAGGATGGTCGTCTGATTCCATATCATAGGCTGCAGCGGTGGTTAACAAACAACCATCTTCCGCTTCCCATCGGACTTGACAATTATAATCATGGGGATGATTGGCGTTGTACATTCGTCTAAATATTTGTTGTACATTCTCTACATACGTGATATCTGATGATTTAAATAATCCAAATTCGCTGAATTTCATCAGGTCGTCATCCAGTTCTCCCCACCCATAAAATAAATGAGTTAGCTGGAATATCATTGAACACAATTCCTGAATTCGTTGGCGTCGTGTCGAACCTTTTGGCGGCAAGAATTGAGTTTCTACCAAAATAATAACTAATGCCGATGATGCTCTTATTTCGTGTGGAATTAGAAGAAGCTGGATTAAAGCTGGTGCTTGTGTGTCAATGTCTGTTTCAGTATCTATAACATAATGCTCGTTTTTTTGACAATACCCATCAAATCACCAATAAATCTATGCGGTGTTGCATCATTAAGGTAATATCTCACTGGCTGCTTTGATACTACTCTTCGTGTCAACTGTAGTAAACTGTCCGTCTGGCCGACTACTCGGTCCACAACGGGTAGTTTAAATTTCGGTAATGTCTGACGAAGTCGTTCATTCTCTTCCAATTTTCTCTTTGAGAAATGTTTTGTTCTAATTCTGTACAACATCTAAATGTGATAAGGAAAATGAATTTAGGATAGATCGTCAGGTCCATAAAACTGCTTAAAGTCGCGCAGAACGGCTTCGCCGAAATGATCACTCAGTCTTGTATTTCGTTGTTATATGTAATCATGTAAGTAATGAAATATTATTTGTAATTGCCAACAATTCCTGTATTATAAGCTTTGTGGATCATACATAACAAATAATTAACTCTGACAAAACCAATGACAGTCGTTGGGGGCTTTGCACTTCACCAGCCAGCCACGTCAAAGTATATGCCACCTTCCAAACGTGCAATGAGGTAAACAAATCAAAACTACAAGATTTATAAGTGGTAATCTTGAAAAACAAAAATGTATTAAATTGGATGATCTTTATTATGGTCTAAGTGCACTTGAACGGAAATGCTGATGTGGACTAACTTAAAATTAATTTAGATTCTTTTCTAGCACGAGACGAAGATCATTTACATGTACTCGTGCTACTGCTTTGGTTTCAACATCTTCAACCCAATAAATCGGATGGTTCACTTCAATCACCTTAGATGGTACTCTAGAATATTTTGCATATAATTTTGATCTAATTCCATATATTCTTGTTGATACGAACTGTCCAACTTCATAGTGCGGGTCTTTTCTATTGTTATCATATCTGTGTTTAGATAGTTGTCGTTGACGAATCATATTTTGGCGTGCATGGCGATGATAAATTGCAAGATTCTTCTTCAATTGCTGATAATAAAGGATCAAACATTATGCCCAGAGATTGAGACTTGATAGTGTAAATCCTCACTCGATAAGTTTTCATAATTTTCTCGCGTGGTCTGGACTACGTTTGGCGTTTCAACCAAGTGACATTGTATCGTTAAAAAGATCATTTGAACATTGCTGTCAAAGTCAAGTGCTTAAATGGTGCAGTATATTTTTTGAATTTAATGAGATTGTTCATTTGCTGCTCAGTGTTTATTTATCCCTTTTTTTTCAATATAGGTATCAACCTGGTTAGAATGTTGCGTTAAAATCTGGAGAAAAGGCAAGTCATAATGTAAAAGAATATCTATTCTTTAAGACGTATTTGATCTCATTTTTGATATGCGATATACAATAGTTTTATTTATGTTTTAGCAGCATCGAAATGCTAGATTTTTAAGAAAAGTCGTTGATCGAACACCACCATTGGGAAAAGCTTATTGATTAAGAATTGAAAGCAGTAATACTATTATTGATGAAGATTCAATCACAAATATACAATGAGTAAGAAAACTTTCTTTATTTAATTTCGTACAAAGCAAGAAAGACTGGTTTTGTAAACTGGTGAATCTGATTGTTTAGAGATAGGAAAACGATACATGGTAATACGACATCTGATTATTTCTTATTCATCAATCGATAATTACATTCACTTAACATCATTTGCAGGTCAAAATTGTTATTTTAATAAACAAAATAAAACAATGTATATATTGCAAATATTTTCTACACGAAATTCTGCTTGTTTTATGCGAAATGTTAATTAGTTAGATATTTCTCTAGAGGACAACTGACACAAAATATCCAAAAAGGTGAAGAGAAAACACATCAATTATTAGAAACATTGAATTTGTTCTTTGAAACGTTTCATCTTTACCTAAGATTAAAAGTTCACAGTTGTAAATCCAGTACGTATGATATAATAAACGAACATTCAGCTGATCTTTCATTAAACATATACATAGTTTATTGTTGCTTTTTTCCTTTACGATGATATTTATCCTTTAATGTGTTTCATCGGGAACTGTTAATAATTCTTTTGATTTTTGCTTTAAATCGGACTAACAAATATCATCCAAAACCATATAACAATGGAAAGAGTCAGCTTCGCCATCAAAACAAATCAATACACATTGTCTTTTGGAATAGGCGAAAATTGTAATAAATATAAGAGTATAACCATTTTCGTAACAAAATGAAAATTTACTGCTGTTACATTCTTATATTTATTAAAATCAATACACCCTTTGTTCACTTGTCGAGAATCGATACAGATAAGAACCTAGAACGTAATTACTATCCATTTCAAAATAGAAAAAGGATGGTCATTTTCTCAATAACTTTTTCTAGGAAGCAGCTAAAAAGTTGCGGTTTTCGCTGTTTAAAAGAAAAATGTTGGGGCTACAAGAAAAACTAAAAAGTTTTGTCCCAAAATTACCTGCAGGTGGTATACCTTGCGAAGATGT